TTTTAATATATATAGGGCGGCAGAAATAACAAGGGAAAAGACCCTTGTGCCCCTGAGTACAATAACAGACATAACAGAAAGAAAAAACGAAATAAAAAACATTTTAATTAGCCAAACAGACCCTAACATCAGCAACTAAATTATTTTAACACTTATTAACAAATTGTTAGAGAATGCAATACTTGACGTCAAATGATAGCATCAGGATGGGAGGACTGAAGGCTGCCCTGCCTTCCTCTGTTGCATGCATACATGCAACTAAGCTTTAAGATTGGGAACCACCATTTATGGGTGCAGACAAGGAAACCCACTGGATTAAAATCGGCTTATTTGATTAATGTATTCACTAATTACAAGATCCATAAATCTTCTTTATTTATTTCTGCATTCTTTGCCACACTGTCTCTAATTATACATGTTTTTCTTTTGATAAGAAACAATACTTCATAATTTTTAATAATAATGGGGAAAAGCCCAACTATACAAGAAGCCTGCACTCAATTTACAACAGCAGCCTAAAGCTTACCCACTTCGCTCATACATGTTAAGATTATACAATCTGGGTTTTTGCTCCAATAGATCCTAGATCTAATGTATGGTGGATCCTACACATCTAAAAAACTATTTCATGGCTTTAATAGCCTCTCCAAATGGTGGACAAAATAGAACCAAGACTGCCAACACTAGATGAAAACATCAATAAAAACTTTAAGGAAAAAAAGGTGAGATACAACATTATTTCAAACAAAACCAAATTCTGAAAAAAAAATTAACTTACCCTTGATAAAGCCAAGATGCTCCACCATCTAAATCTATAGATATCTCTTTAACAAAACAACTACATTCCATGAGAGACAGCTCCAGCGTTCCTTCTTGATTCTCCAAACCCAAAGTTAGCCCTACTTCCAGGCCTTCAACCTTACCTAGAAGCAGCACTCATCAGTTTCCCTTTGTTGAAAGATACATTGAAGATGATGACATAATCATGTAGGAGGAAAGAATAGAAAAGCTTTGAAAAGGTAGCTGGCAGACCTTGAGTATTGCTTGTGCAAAGCAACAAAATGCATGCCCAATTGCTAGTCCAAGAAAGGGGAAAAAAAAGAATCTAACAAGCCCCCTCACCTGGAATAGATGAAAGGGTTCATAACCAGTTGAGTGTTCTATCCGTCTATGACTGGCAATTGGATATCATGGTCCCATAATCAGTTGTAGGAGTTCAAGAAATTACGTGGCACCTAAATCCTAACCTTACATGACTAAATTAAGTAATTCATGCAGTGCAGGCATTGACAGTTATATTTCAGAGTGCTCAGATATTACGAACCATGAAGCCTCAAGATTTTTGTCACAAAGGAATGTCAATGTTTACAGTAGGAAAACAATAGAAGTGACCACCTAAGGCATAATATTTCATTCCTTGAAATTATCTTAATAAATATAACTTTTGCAAGGTAGTAGGAGCTGAAACTTATTATGACCCCAAGTGGTAATATAATGCTAATTCCATATACAGCAGTTTCAGGTGTTCACTTCTATTTTATGTTCACGTCCCCAAAACAATGGTTGAATCATTGCATTTGGTAGCCCAACATCCATAACCATTATTCGCAAAACCATCACATTATTCAATTGATTATCAATCTTATTAGTTGAAGCAAGACGGAAAACAAAAACAAACAAAATAATTTGAATCCAGTAATCATTATTTACACAAGCTTGATTCCGTCCATGAAAGTATCCATTAATTAAAACTACAAATTTCACAACACATTATTAATCTGGAATTAAATCTAAAGCTGCAAACTTGAAAAAGGATAAAAAAAGATTAAAAAACTTAAAATAGAAGCCAATAACTTCAACAACATCTCTAGATATTGGAGGACAGGGCAAAGTGAAAAGCCTTCTCGGGGTATACCTGAATAGAGGCATGGCCTTTATCCGAAACAACAATAGGGATGAACCAGGTACCATAGGAATAATACCAATTCATACTCAAATTTGCGGTGGCACCCGAAGCAACAATTGTTATACCGGTATCGCCAGGCTTCACCTCTGATGCAGAAACATCGACCCTATAGATCGTGATATTGGATAGAACTATATGAACATTACCCACTAAGGGGATTTTCACAGTCTTCTGGATTTGGGGCAAGCTAAGAGGCGCTAGAGAGGTAATTGCCAGGTCTACCAATATATCCTTGGAGAAATCAAGACCCTTCTGGGATATGACTGCAGAGATGAAGCCTTCTTCACTGGATTGTGATTGGGCGTGTACAGGAACGAATAGTAAGGCTACGAGAACGAATAAAGTAGTCGCTGCCATCGATGCGATGAGGTAGAGACCCAGATTAGAAACTTATCAGAGAAGAGCAGAGGCCATGAACATGATTGACCAGATGGAGACAGTAGATGGAAGCAGAAACTAAGGTGTAAGAATCCATAGAAGAGATGAAGGAAGCAGAGTGGAAATAGAGTGGAAATGGAGTGTTGCACGAAGGACATGGCTGGTTTGGATCTTTCTGTACTGATGATCGGAACTCGTTGTTTTAGCATTCAATCTTCCACTTGCTACTGAGGATTGCTTTTCTTGTTGATAATTATTACGTGAGTGGCACGTGCATTTGCACGTTCTGGATGGAATGGTTAGATACTTTTGTCAACCGTCAACAACATATAGCTCGATAACGGCTGTATTTTTATCTATAAAATTTACCATTTGCACGTGCATTTCCATATGTGTTATCTATAAAATTTACCATTATATATATATTATTTATAAAATTTTTGAGATGGGATAAAATGAAAATTTCTCTAAAATATAAGAAAACATTAGTCTTTTTATATATTGTTAATTATATAATTGTAGGTAACCCAGTTTTAACATGGCAATAAGATAATGACTTGAAGGAAGAATTCTTTGATTCCAAGCATAGACGATGTGGACTCTTGTTATTGTTACTACTTACTAGTGTTATGTTCGCAGGGGCTAGTGAATTGATAATTTACCATAACAGCAAATGAGAAAAGTAAAATTTGTCCTTAGTTGCAAATTTTGAAGCTCACATCATACAAAAATTTTAAAGAAAATATATAAATTAAATTAATGTCAAAAATAATATTTATATAATTTAATATTATTAAAGAGCAAAAATATTCTAAATAAATATTACCTAATTACTTTATGGATATATGGTGCCACCATGGAAGTATCCTACAAACAAATCAACTAAAAATAGATGATGCAAACTAAAAAAAATAATGAAATAAAAATGCCAATATATCTATTATAGCCCATTTAGAGATAGAGAACATTTTCCTTGATAATCTATTAATTAAATCCCATTAAATACCTATTTCCCCTCTCTCTCCCTCCCCCTCCCCTACAAGGGTATACACTTGTAAAATGTATATTAAATTACTTGATTTCACTTAATGTATTGTTGAATTTATTAATTAGTTTAAGGTTATTAATTGTAATTGTATATTTTTAAAATTTTGAGTGCTTAATGTAATTTTAGTATGTAATTAGATTAATTAAGTTAATAATTTATTTAATTTACCATGATCAAGTTACCTTAACTAAATTAACTATGACAACTAATTAAATTACACCAAATTAATTTGCTTATCTTACCTAGTTGAAATATCTAAAAAATTTCAAAGTTACAATTAGGCAAAATCTATAAACAATCTATGAAAATTGATACAATATAGATTTTGCTAGAGGTGTAAATCGGGTCATGTCGGGCCATGCTTCCCTCCCTTGGGATACTTTAGGGGGTCAGCCCGAGCCTGCATAGGTCTGTGCCATGCCATGCTGCGAGGACCTTCCATTCTCTCTCTATGTGAAAGCTTCTCTTTAGACTCGTTTATTATGAAGTTATATACAATATGATGTGCATAATCTTAGAAACAATCATTCGGACAAACATTTATTGTTAAAGTCATAGCATGTTAGTGTGCTATCCATACACAAGATATAGAATATGTTATTGACTATTATTGGATTTATGATGAATCTACAACAAAGTCATATCATATGTGTTATGACCACCATTCTTTGGTCTCCTATACTTGTTCATCCACTTTTGCTTCTATTTAGGTTGTATTTGATATTAATGTTTGGGATCTTGGTTGATGGTGACTTGGTTGGTGAGGTATCTGATGTAGGGTGCTTTGGCCCGACTTAGTAATAGGGGGACACGTGGACACGACCTAACTAGCAGGATGACAGCTCAGTCTGATGCACCAAGTCTGCAACCCATCGAGCTCGAATAACCAAACCACCTCGGTCCCAAGGCACTTCGGTATTCGTAACAGGTCGGATCCAAAGGGCACTAGCTCGGGTAATATTGACCGACCACTGCATGGAAACCCCGAAGATCTCGCCACCAGATTCTGTGCCCCACGGAATCACGCCTCGTAACAACTAACATTATCTCCCCTGTTCGATTCAGGCGGAAGTGATGAATCTTATCAGTTGGCAGCGTTATCCCCAATTAACGCGAAAACGGACCTCATCGTGATGAGGATCCCGGAACCGCTCCGCGAAACCCGCAAAGGCTCCACCCCCCGGGGGTGAAAGATACACGTAATCTCTGCTCTCTATCCCTCTTGCATTCTAAGCTATTATCAGCTCGCAACCAAGTACTAACTTAAGCATTGGAGCAACCTTGTCGGGTAAGCAACCCTGGGTTCTTTGATTCGCTTTTTGTAGATCATCTGAGTTCGTCGTCTACTAGAAGCCAGATCACCTCCAGTTGGGAGCAGTCGGATTGCACTATTAATGTTTGGGATCCTTGGCTAATGGTGACTTGGTTGGTGAGGTATCCATCTATTTATAGCGGAGACTTGGGATGGCCTACCCTATTGTGTAGCCTTAAAAACACAAGAGTATAAAAAAAATATCACCATTTGTAGGAATGGCAATGGGGCGGGGATCATATTCTCTGTCCCCAATCTCGAATTTGAAATAAATCGTCGTCTCTGACCTTAATCCCTTCTGAGGATAAAGGTTATTCTCCATCCCCAATCCCTAAGGGTCTGTTTGATTGCTGAGAAAATTGGACTGAGAAAGGAAAATTTATTTTCTCAGTTAGTTTTAATGTGTTTGTTTGTTGAGAAAATTTTTGTGAGAAAATCCACTTTCTAGTGTTTGTTTGCTGAGAAAAATTTTCTCAACTAAAAAAATGCATGTAATTTACTTTTATGACAACTTGCACCCCCCAAATGTATGACACATATGATTGAACTTTCCACGTGGCATGATAGTGTTATTAAACTTGCTCATTCAAAAATTTTACTTAAAAAGAGTAAGAAATGCTTAATTATTT